TAAATGAAAAGAAGTCTTCCAAAGTTTAATTGTAAGAAAATCCATATAATATTAGTAAATATGTATGAATGTATAATTAAAATACAATAGATAGCCAAAATAACTCATATAAATAAAATCGAAAGTTTTTTTAATGTTTAAATATATATATTAAAATAAAGTAATTTTGATTTTAAAGTTTATGTAAGTGTTATTATTTAAAAGATTAAAAGTACTGTCTAACCTTTGCTCAAGCTCATTAACCCCGTATTTTTGTTATATAAAAACGTTTTGCGTCCTCCGATTAAATATAATCCAACATACTATGTATAAAAATAATTACATGAAAAACTATGTATTGGTGACACAAAAAGTTTTCTGGTACATTTTTAAATATAAATTTTCTTTATTGTTAATTAATTTTAATAGAGTTCATGTTGGCCATTATTATTGAAGACCTTTTGATATTTTTCGAGTAGCTTCGTAATTCTATTGGTGTTAAACTACTGTGGTTTCTCGATGAAAGACTACGCCAAGTGCATTACAACGGCGCTTTAGTTATGGTAACCTTTCTTCACCATAAAGAAAATCCGAAATAAATAGGAGTCGAATGATGTAGGTTTCGGGCGGTGGACATACGATGGATGCATCAAAACTTACCAATCAAGAGCCGTCAATTTGTTTCGAGTCATTAAAGGTATGTCTGTGGGGTCTACCATTGTTATCATGAAACACAACTACTTCTTCGTTAACCAATTGTGGTCAATTCTTCTTGATTATTTAATTCAAGCGGTTGAGTTGCGAGCATTAATGCACAGAGTTAACCATTGCTCCAGTCCAGTGCAGCTCGTAATAGACAATTTCTACCAATTACACTTACCGGCTTTTAACTTTTGATCACTGGCGTTGGATATTGTCATATATTTACTTCCCAAATTGCTGTAGTTAAGCAGAGTGCACACAAATATGATATAAATTTTTACTTCTATTAGATTAATTCTATCTAACACTATAAAATGTCATGAAAAAATTGAATATAAAGAGAACTCACTTTAACTGAGAACACATTGTCAAATGTGTTACAATGTCTTCGGATAGTGTTAGAAACCCACAAGCATGCTCCAAGGCAAACAAAGAGTTCAAACAGGGTCGCATGAATAAAAACATGAATAAAATCTTACATATTTTAGCTAATTAGTTTTTTTAAAAAGTTTTTGGATTTGAAAATATCCTCTTTCTCTACTATTTTAAATCAAGTTCTTGTCATATTAAAAGTTCTTAACGCAATTAAACAAATAACCATATGAAGATAGAACCCATATTTAGTTCTATACCATGCAATATATCTAAAATTTACCCGGAGCCTTTGAAACAGCAATCATTTTTTATCCTTTGTGGTAACCCGCAGGTCGTCCCTTGCCAAGTTATTCACAGGAATATTTTGATATTTTTTGAGTAATTAAATATTTAGGTTATACACCGAAATTTGCAAAGTCTATCAATACAAGTTCAAGAAAGAGATAAAAGACTGTCGTATATACGTATTACCACAGTTCGTGTATAAACTAGCACAATAAACTGAAAGGCTTTATTTCACAAGCTAAATAACTTTAGAATGTGACTCTAACTTGATACAATACAGTTTATAATAATCAGGAAATTAAAAACACAGATAAAGTATCAGAGTGGTTTCCCATTCAAACTGGAATAAATAAAGCGCTTCAGGAAGACAACGACTAAATCACGCATCTTACAGACGGCCTAACCCTATTGAATGTTATGAGTCAGATGGTTGTGTTATTCTAACAATAACCCCCAAATTATTGCAAGTTAAGATAGATAAGCTTCACTATTATTAAGTGTTATGGAGTACACAATAAATATTCAAAAATAAAAAGTTGATATATTCAAAAAGCACCACAGTTTATATGCAGATCAAGAATTATAAACATATGACGATGAAAATTCGGAAAAAGTTAAGAAATAAAAATACACATGAGTATGGATCCGCTATAATATTATATATACTTAAGATCTAGTCGAAACGTTAAAGGAAGTAATAATGGGTATTAAATTGTCGTGAGTATTATTTTTATAAATAATAGAGCGTAAGAGAGCTTCCTTATAAAGAAGCAACGTAGAAGACCTACTCCGATACTTTATAAACAAATTGTTGCGATGACTGCTTAACACTAATTTTGAGACTAAGTTATAAAAAAGTTCTTAAGATGGACAACAATCAGTAACTTGAAAACATTACAAGAAAAATAATTGCTTTAAAACCTTGTACGACCTGTTGTACGGTCTGTCAAAATCCTGACAGACCTCAGTTATCATTGTGTTAAAAGAATCATATCATTATTGGTTTAAATACGCTTAAGTAAAGTTTATGAATTTAATTTGTATTATTTCATTATAAACTTTTTAATAGGATTTTGGTACAGTAGATACTACTACTACTTATATTACTACTAATAAAAAAAGAATAGACATAAAATTTAGTGAATTTATTTAAAAATATTTTTATTAGAATTATTCAAAAAATGGTTAGTAATTATATGTTTCATGTATTAAGTTTACATTCTCTGAAATTTACAGAAAGGATATTATATTAAAAATGTAGAAAATCGTGCGATGGCTATATATATATTATAGTTAATTGTTTAGACTTAGACACTATTTAGAACTTTTGAAGAACTTATGATCTTTTGTATCTCGGGTATGTTGATAGGCACCTTGCTGGATTTTGTGTATAGCACATGTTGTTGAAGCAGGTCCTTTATATTCGCTTTTGTAAAGACTTGAAGATGTTGCCGTATCAGACCCGAGGGTAAAAGAAGATTGACCACCATTCCTTCGAGTAATTATGCGTTCTGTACGTGTGGTTGATGGTAATGCATATTCGCCAGTTATAATACGAGTCATCGTTGATGATGATGCCGAAGATGCTGATTTAGCATCATACGATTTGTGTGCAACATTATAAGTTTGACGTTCATTCGAAGATGTTGATAAACAAGAATCTAACTCTTTGTTTTGCCTGTGTATGCTGCTATAACTTTTTCTTTCGCTTGGAATGCCACCAATGGAATGTTCGTGCAAATTTAGAATACTCTTACGGTGAATTTTTCCATTTGATGATAGACCACCAAATTGATTCGAGTCAGTTGATACATTCTTACGATGAAAAATGGAGTTAGTTATATCCGATTCGCTGGAAAGCTCACCTTTGCGGTGATGGTACTGTTTTGAAGAAGAAATATTGGATGCATTTGAAACATTGGACACATTTGAAATATTGGATACTTTTGAAACATTGGATAAATGTGTCATATTTGAGACATTAGATACATTTTTGCATTCATTATTGGAAACAGTATTTTGTGTTGCAACATTCGCTATTATTGTTCCTAAACTATCACGTTGATCAGTTATGCTTCTCTGATTAGCACGTGTTACATGATTTTCCTTTACTGACACAATATCACTGTGCTTATTTTCAATATTAATAGTCTTTGTCGCGTTAGTCGATTTTGTAGTATTTTCGATTATATTTACCTTTTCATTTCGCTTTACAAATTCAGTTTCCGGTTCCTTCTTATTGCGGCTCCCTATAACAGTCGTTACCTTCTTTGTAGATACAACTATCAAGCCGTCCGCTGGAGATTTCGTATTTCCATTTGTGACGTTTGTATTTTTACCAGAAGCAAAACTCATTTGGTTAGTTGTCTTAAGTATAGATTGATCACTTCCTAAGTTTATCGAAGAAGCATTGTGAGTTTGTTTAATTTTAGAGACTGTTTGAGATGTCTTTGTAATGGTGTTTGTAGATTTGAAATCTTCTCTCCTTTGCATATCCATGGTACCTTCCAATTTTAAGTTGTCTGTAGGTTTTTTTGGAATAATTCTTTCGGTTCTATCCTTTACAACGTTGTCACTTGCAGTTATTTTTCTAGTTGTTTTCTTATCCTCTATTCTATAAAAATCACCCTCACTTTTTAAGTTATCAACAGGCTTTTTAACTTGAGGTCGTTCTGCTGGTACATATTTCGTACTATCTGGACTGTAAAACTCGCCCTCAGATTTCAAATTATCAGTAGGTTTTACTTGTTGCGGTCTTTTCACGTATTTATAGCTTTCTTTTTGCGTAAAACACATATCTCCTTCCATTTTCAAATTGTCTTTATGAATTATTCGCTCTGATTTTGATGCAGTTTTAAATGAAGTCTTTTCAGGAACATAAAAACTACCTTCGGATTTTAAATTATCTTTTGGTTTCTTTTGAACGGGACGGTCTGCTGCACGATATACTGTTTTGGTAGGAGAGTAAAATTCACCCTCAGGTTTCAAATTGTCTGTATGCTTTACTGGCTTCTGTTTTTCTACAAACATATATTCATCTTTGGTGGTGAAAATCATTTCACCCTCAACTTTCAAATTATCTTTATGTATAATTCTTTCAGTTTTAGTAGCTGGCTTAAATGACGGCTTTTCAGGAACACAAATTTCACCTTCAGGTCTCAAATTATCCGCTGGAATCACTTGCTCTGGTCGTACAGTGAACTGATATTTTTCCTTTTCAATGAAAGTCATATCACCTTCTGTTTTCAAATTATCCTTTCGTATAACACGCTGAGCTTTTTCAGCAGGCTTATGTTGAGTTTTTTCCGGAACATAAAAATCTCCTTCAGGTTTCAAATTATCATCATGTTTAACAGGTGTTGGCCTCTCTCCAGGTTTGTATTCCGGCTTTGCAGGGCCATAAAATTGACCTTCAGGACGTAAATTATCCTCAGGTATTTTTGGAATAGGACGCTCTGCGGGCTTGAAGTCAGATTTTTGTGGAGTATAAAATACGCCTTCTGGTTTTAAATTATCGCTTGGTTTAATTTGATTCGGCCGAATAGTAAACTGATACTCGTCTTTCTCGATAAATGTCATTTCACCTTCGGTTCGTAGATTATCCTTATGAATAACCTTCTTAGTCTTCTCAGCAGGTCGGTACTGCGATTTACCTGGTATAAACAAATCACCTTCTGGTCGCAAGTTGTCTTCTGGTTTTTTCTGGACCGGTCGCTCAGCAGGTTTAAAATCAGTTTTATCAGGTGTATAGAATTTCCCTTCAGGCTTTAAGTTATCAGTTGGTTTTACTTGCTCTGGTCTGACTACATATTGATATTCATCCCTTTCAACAAATGTCATTTCACCTTCTGTCTTCAAATTATCTTTATGAATAATTCGTTGTATTTTTTCAGCAGGTTTAAACTTTGCTTTTTCTGGAGAGTAGAACTCACCTTCAGGTTTGAGATTATCATCAGGTCGAACTTGTGTTGGCCTTTCACCGGGCTTATATTTTAGTTTTTCTGGAGCATAGAACTCGCCTTCAGGTTTGAGGTTGTCATCTGGTCGAACTTGAGTTGGTCTCTCACCCGGCTTATATTTTGGTTTTTCTGGAGTGTAGAATTCACCTTCTGGTCGTAAATTGTCTTTGTGTTTCTTTTGGACAGGTCGCTCAGCAGGTTCAAAATCAACTTTATCTGGTGCATAGAATTTTCCTTCAGGCTTTAAGTTATCAGTTGGTTTTACTTGTTCTGGTCTGACTACATATTGATATTCTTCCCTTTCAACGAATGTCATTTCACCTTCTGTCTTCAAATTATCTTTACGAATAACTCGTTGTGTTTTCTCTGCGGGCTTGAATTGTGTTTTTTCTGGAACATAGAATTCACCTTCAGGTTTAAGATTATCATCTGGTCGAACTTGAGTTGGTCTTTCTCCAGATTTATATTTTGGTTTTTCTGGAGTATAAAACTCGCCTTCAGGTTTGAGATTATCATCAGGTCGAACTTGAGTTGGTCTTTCACCTGGTCTATATTTTGGTTTTTCGGGACTATGAAACTCACCCTCTGGCCGCAAGTTATCTTCGGGTTTCTTTTGAATGGGACGTTCAGCCGACTTAAATGTTGGTTTCTCCGGTGTATAGAATTCACCTTCAGGACGTAGGTTGTCATCTGGTCGAACTTGAGTTGGTCTTTCACCTGGTTTATATTTTAGTTTTTCTGGAGTATAGAATTCACCTTCAGGTTTGAGGTTGTCATCAGGTCTAACTTGAGTTGGTCTCTCACCAGGTTTATATTTTGGTTTTTCTGGAGCATAGAACTCGCCTTCAGGTTTGAGATTGTCATCAGGCCGAACTTGTGTTGGTCTTTCTCCTGGTTTGTATTTCGGTTTTTCTGGAGTGTAGAATTCACCTTCTGGTCGTAAATTGTCTTTGGTTTCTTTTGAATAGGTCTCTCAGCAGGTTCAAAATCAACTTTATCTGGTGTATAGAATTTTCCTTCAGGCTTTAAGTTATCAGTTGGTTTTACTTGTTCTGGTCTGACTACATATTGATATTCTTTCCTCTCAACGAATGTCATTTCACCTTCTGTCTTCAAATTATCTTTACGAATAACTCGTTGTGTTTTCTCTGCGGGCTTGAATTGTGTTTTTTCGGGAACATAGAATTCACCTTCAGGTTTAAGATTATCATCTGGTCGAACTTGTGTTGGTCTTTCTCCAGGTTTATATTTTGGTTTTTCTGGAGTATAAAATTCGCCTTCTGGTTTGAGGTTGTCATCGGGACGAACTTGAGTTGGTCTTTCACCTGGTCTATATTTTGGTTTTTCGGGACTATGAAACTCACCCTCTGGCCGCAAGTTATCTTCGGGTTTCTTTTGAATGGGACGTTCAGCCGGCTTAAACGTTGGTTTCTCCGGTGTATAGAATTCACCTTCAGGACGTAGATTGTCATCAGGTCGAACTTGAGTTGGTCTTTCACCAGGCTTATACTTCGGTTTTTCTGGAGCATAGAACTCGCCTTCAGGTTTGAGATTGTCATCAGGCCGAACTTGAGTTGGCCTCTCACCTGGTTTGTATTTCGGTTTTTCTGGAGTGTAGAATTCACCTTCTGGTCGTAAATTGTCTTTGTGTTTCTTTTGGACAGGTCTCTCAGCTGGTTCAAAATCAACTTTATCTGGTGCATAGAATTTTCCTTCAGGCTTTAAGTTATCAGTGGGTTTTACTTGTTCTGGTCTGATAACATATTGATATTCTTCCCTCTCAACGAATGTCATTTCACCTTCTGTCTTCAAATTATCTTTACGAATAACTCGTTGTGTTTTCTCTGCGGGCTTGAATTGTGTTTTTTCGGGAACATAGAATTCACCTTCAGGTTTAAGGTTATCATCTGGTCGAACTTGAGTTGGTCTTTCACCTGGTTTATATTTTGGTTTTTCTGGAGTATAAAATTCACCTTCAGGTTTGAGATTATCATCTGGTCGAACTTGAGTTGGTCTCTCACCAGGTTTATATTTTGGTTTTTCTGGAGCATAGAACTCGCCTTCAGGTTTGAGATTATCATCGGGCCGAACTTGTGTTGGTCTTTCTCCTGGTTTGTATTTCGGTTTTTCTGGAGTGTAGAATTCACCTTCTGGTCGTAAATTGTCTTCAGGTTTCTTTTGAATAGGTCTCTCAGCAGGTTCAAAATCAACTTTATCTGGTGTATAGAATTTTCCTTCAGGCTTTAAGTTATCAGTTGGTTTTACTTGTTCTGGTCTGATAACATATTGATATTCTTCCCTTTCAACGAATGTCATTTCACCTTCAGTCTTCAGATTATCTTTACGAATAACTCGTTGTGTTTTCTCTGCTGGCTTGAATTGTGTTTTTTCTGGAACATAGAATTCACCTTCAGGCTTGAGATTATCATCTGGTCGAACTTGAGTTGGTCTTTCTCCAGGTTTATATTTTGGTTTTTCTGGAGTATAAAACTCGCCTTCAGGTTTGAGATTATCATCAGGTCGAACTTGAGTTGGTCTTTCACCTGGTCTATATTTTGGTTTTTCGGGACTATGAAACTCACCCTCTGGCCGCAAGTTATCTTCGGGTTTCTTTTGAATGGGTCGTTCAGCCGGCTTAAACGTTGGCTTATCCGGTGTATAGAATTCACCTTCAGGACGTAGGTTGTCATCTGGTCGAACTTGAGTTGGTCTTTCACCAGGCTTATACTTCAGTTTTTCTGGGACATAGAACTTACCTTCTGGTTTGAGATTATCATCAGGTCGAATTTGAGTTGGTCTTTCTCCAGGTTTATATTTAGGTTTTTCTGGAGTATAAAACTCGCCTTCGGGTTTGAGATTATCATCAGGTCGAACTTGAGTTGGTCTTTCACCTGGTCTATATTTTGGTTTTTCGGGACTATGAAACTCACCCTCTGGCCGCAAGTTATCTTCGGGTTTCTTTTGAATGGGACGTTCAGCCGGCTTAAACGTTGGTTTCTCCGGTGTATAGAATTCACCTTCAGGACGTAGGTTGTCATCTGGTCGAACTTGAGTTGGTCTTTCACCAGGCTTATACTTCGGTTTTTCTGGAGCATAGAACTCACCCTCTGGTTTGAGATTGTCATCTGGTCGAACTTGAGTTGGTCTCTCACCAGGTTTATACTTCGGTTTTTCTGGAGCATAGAACTCACCCTCTGGTTTGAGATTGTCATCAGGTCGAACTTGAGTTGGTCTTTCACCGGGCTTGTATTTTGGTTTTTCTGGAGCATAGAACTCGCCTTCAGGTTTGAGATTGTCATCAGGCCGAACTTGAGTTGGTCTTTCACCTGGTTTGTATTTCGGTTTTTCTGGAGTGTAGAATTCACCTTCTGGTCGTAAATTGTCTTTGTGTCTCTTTTGGACAGGTCGCTCAGCAGGTTCAAAATCAACTTTATCTGGTGTATAGAATTTTCCTTCAGGTTTTAAGTTATCAGTTGGTTTTACTTGTTCTGGTCTGATAACATATTGATATTCTTCCCTTTCAACGAATGTCATTTCACCTTCAGTCTTCAGATTATCTTTATGAATAACTCGTTGTGTTTTCTCTGCGGGCTTGAATTGTGTTTTTTCTGGAACATAGAATTCACCTTCAGGACGTAGGTTGTCATCTGGTCGAACTTGAGTTGGTCTTTCTCCAGGTTTATATTTTGGTTTTTCTGGAGTATAAAACTCGCCTTCAGGTTTGAGATTATCATCAGGTCGAACTTGAGTTGGTCTTTCACCTGGTCTATATTTTGGTTTTTCAGGACTATGAAACTCACCCTCTGGCCGCAAGTTATCTTCGGGTTTCTTTTGAATCGGTCGTTCAGCCGGCTTAAACGTTGGCTTCTCCGGTGTATAGAATTCACCTTCAGGACGTAGGTTGTCATCTGGTCGAACTTGAGTTGGTCTTTCACCAGGCTTATACTTCAGTTTTTCTGGGACATAGAATTTGCCTTCTGGTTTGAGGTTATCATCTGGTCTAACTTGAGTTGGTCTTTCACCTGGTCTATATTTTGGTTTTTCTGGAGCATAGAACTCGCCTTCAGGTTTGAGATTATCATCAGGTCGAACTTGAGTTGGTCTTTCACCTGGCCTATATTTTGGTTTTTCGGGACTATGAAACTCACCCTCTGGCCGCAAGTTATCTTCGGGTTTCTTTTGAATGGGACGTTCAGCTGGCTTAAACGTTGGCTTCTCCGGTGTATAGAATTCACCTTCAGGACGTAGGTTGTCATCTGGTCGAACTTGAGTTGGTCTTTCACCAGGCTTATACTTCGGTTTTTCTGGAGCATAGAACTCACCCTCTGGTTTGAGATTGTCATCTGGTCGAACTTGAGTTGGTCTTTCACCAGGTTTATATTTTGGTTTTTCTGGAGCATAGAACTCGCCTTCAGGTTTGAGATTATCATCGGGCCGAACTTGTGTTGGTCTTTCTCCTGGTTTGTATTTTGGTTTTTCTGGAGTGTAGAATTCACCTTCTGGTCTTAAATTGTCTTCTGGTTTCTTTTGAATAGGTCTCTCAGCAGGTTCAAAATCAACTTTATCTGGTGTATAGAATTTTCCTTCAGGCTTTAAGTTATCAGTGGGTTTTACTTGTTCTGGTCTGACTACATATTGATATTCTTCCCTTTCAACGAATGTCATTTCACCTTCTGTCTTCAAATTATCTTTTCGAATAACTCGTTGTGTTTTCTCTGCGGGCTTGAATTGTGTTTTTTCGGGAACATAGAATTCACCTTCAGGTTTAAGATTATCATCTGGTCGAACTTGAGTTGGTCTTTCACCAGGTTTATATTTTGGTTTTTCGGGAGTATAGAACTCGCCTTCAGGTTTGAGATTATCATCGGGCCGAACTTGAGTTGGCCTTTCACCTGGTTTGTATTTCGGTTTTTCTGGAGTGTAGAATTCACCTTCTGGTCTTAAATTGTCTTCTGGTTTCTTTTGAATAGGTCTCTCAGCAGGTTCAAAATCAACTTTATCTGGTGCATAGAATTTTCCTTCAGGCTTTAAGTTATCAGTGGGTTTTACTTGTTCTGGTCTGACTACATATTGATATTCTTCCCTCTCAACGAATGTCATTTCACCTTCTGTCTTCAAATTATCTTTACGAATAACACGTTGTGTTTTCTCTGCCGGCTTGAACTGTGTTTTTTCTGGAACATAGAATTCACCTTCAGGTTTGAGATTATCATCGGGCCGAACTTGTGTTGGTCTTTCTCCTGGTTTGTATTTTGGTTTTTCTGGAGTGTAGAATTCACCTTCTGGTCGCAAATTGTCTTCAGGTTTCTTTTGAACCGGTCTCTCAGCAGGTTCAAAATCAACTTTATCTGGTGCATAGAATTTTCCTTCAGGCTTTAAGTTATCAGTTGGTTTTACTTGTTCTGGTCTGACTACATATTGATATTCTTCCCTTTCAACAAATGTCATTTCACCTTCTGTCTTCAAATTATCTTTACGAATAACTCGTTGTGTTTTTTCTGCGGGCTTGAATTGTGTTTTTTCGGGAACATAAAGCTCACCTTCAGGTTTAAGATTATCGTCTGGTCGAACTTGTGTCGGTCTTTCTCCAGGTTTATATTTTGGTTTTTCTGGAGTATAAAATTCACCTTCAGGTTTGAGGTTGTCTTCAGGTCGAACTTGAGTTGGTCTTTCACCTGGTCTATATTTTGGTTTTTCGGGACTATGAAACTCACCCTCTGGCCGCAAGTTATCTTCGGGTTTCTTTTGAATGGGACGCTCGGCTGGTTTAAATGTTGGTTTCTCTGGTGTATAGAATTCGCCCTCAGGACGTAGGTTGTCATCGGGGCGAACTTGTGTTGGTCTTTCACCAGGCTTATACTTCAGTTTTTCTGGGACATAGAACTTACCTTCTGGTTTGAGATTATCATCAGGTCGAATTTGAGTTGGTCTTTCTCCAGGTTTATATTTAGGTTTTTCGGGAGTGTAAAATTCACCTTCAGGTTTGAGATTGTCATCGGGTCGAACTTGAGTTGGTCTTTCACCAGGTTTATATTTTGGTTTTTCTGGAGCATAGAACTCGCCTTCAGGTTTGAGATTGTCATCATGTCGAACTTGAGTTGGTCTTTCACCTGGTTTGTATTTCGGTTTTTCTGGAGTGTAGAATTCACCTTCTGGTCTTAAATTGTCTTTGTGTTTCTTTTGGACAGGTCGCTCAGCAGGTTCAAAATCAACTTTATCTGGTGCATAGAATTTTCCTTCAGGCTTTAAGTTATCAGTTGGTTTTACTTGTTCTGGTCTGACTACATATTGATATTCTTCCCTTTCAACGAATGTCATTTCACCTTCTGTCTTCAAATTATCTTTACGAATAACTCGTTGTGTTTTCTCTGCGGGCTTGAATTGTGTTTTTTCGGGAACATAGAATTCGCCTTCAGGTTTAAGGTTATCATCTGGTCTAACTTGAGTTGGTCTTTCACCTGGTCTATATTTTGGTTTTTCTGGAGCATAGAACTCGCCTTCAGGTTTGAGATTATCATCAGGTCGAACTTGAGATGGTCTTTCACCTGGTCTATATTTTGGTTTTTCGGGACTATGAAACTCACCCTCTGGCCGCAAGTTATCTTCGGGTTTCTTTTGAATGGGACGTTCAGCCGGCTTAAACGTTGGTTTCTCCGGTATATAGAATTCACCTTCAGGACGTAGGTTGTCATCTGGTCGAACTTGAGTTGGTCTTTCACCAGGCTTATACTTCGGTTTTTCTGGAGCATAGAACTCACCCTCTGGTTTGAGATTGTCATCTGGTCGAACTTGAGTTGGTCTCTCACCAGGTTTATATTTTGGTTTTTCTGGAGCATAGAACTCGCCTTCAGGTTTGAGATTATCATCGGGCCGAACTTGTGTTGGTCTTTCTCCTGGTTTGTATTTTGGTTTTTCTGGAGTGTAGAATTCACCTTCTGGTCTTAAATTGTCTTCTGGTTTCTTTTGAATAGGTCTCTCAGCAGGTTCAAAATCAACTTTATCTGGTGTATAGAATTTTCCTTCAGGTTTTAAGTTATCAGTGGGTTTTACTTGTTCTGGTCTGACTACATATTGATATTCTTCCCTCTCAACGAATGTCATTTCACCTTCTGTCTTCAAATTATCTTTACGAATAACTCGTTGTGTTTTCTCTGCGGGCTTGAATTGTGTTTTTTCTGGAACATAGAATTCACCTTCAGGTTTAAGGTTATCATCTGGTCGAACTTGAGTTGGTCTTTCACCAGGTTTATATTTTGGTTTTTCTGGAGCATAGAACTCGCCTTCAGGTTTGAGATTGTCATCATGTCGAATTTGTGTTGGTCTTTCACCTGGTTTATATTTCGATTTTTCTGGAGTGTAAAATTCACCTTCTGGTCGTAAATTGTCTTTGTGTTTCTTTTGGACTGGTCGCTCAGCAGGTTCAAAATCAACTTTATCTGGTGCATAGAATTTTCCTTCAGGTTTTAAGTTATCAGTGGGTTTTACTTGTTCTGGTCTGATAACATATTGATATTCTTCCCTCTCAACGAATGTCATTTCACCTTCTGTCTTCAAATTATCTTTACGAATAACTCGTTGTGTTTTCTCTGCGGGCTTGAATTGTGTTTTTTCTGGAACATAGAATTCACCTTCAGGTTTAAGATTATCGTCGGGTCGAACTTGAGTTGGTCTTTCTCCAGGTTTATATTTTGATTTTTCGGGAGCATAAAATTCACCTTCAGGTTTGAGATTATCATCAGGTCGAACTTGTGTCGGTCTTTCACCGGGTTTATATATTAGTTTTTCTGGAACATAGAACTCGCCTTCAGGTTTGAGATTATCATCATGTCGAATTTGAGTTGGTCTTTCACCTGGTCTATATTTTGGTTTTTCGGGACTATGAAATTCACCTTCTGGCCGCAAGTTATCTTCGGGTTTCTTTTGAATGGGTCGTTCAGCCGGCTTATACGTTGGTTTCTCCGGTGTATAGAATTCACCTTCAGGACGTAGGTTGTCATCTGGTCGAACTTGAGTTGGTCTCTCACCTGGTTTATATTTTGGTTTTTCTGGAGCATAGAATTCACCTTCAGGTTTGAGATTATCATCGGGACGGACTTGAGTTGGTCTTTCACCTTGTTTGTATGTCGGTTTCTCAGGAGTGTAGAATTCACCTTCTGGTCGTAAATTGTCTTTGTGTTTCTTTTGTACAGGTCGCTCAGCAGGTTCAAAATCAACTTTATCTGGTGCATAGAATTTTCCTTCGGGCCTTAAATTATCAGTTGGTTTTACTTGTTCTGGTCTGATAACATATTGATATTCTTCCCTCTCAACGAATGTCATTTCACCTTCTGTCTTCAAATTATCTTTACGAATAACTCGTTGTGTTTTTTCTGCGGGCTTGAATTGTGTTTTTTCGGGAACATAGAATTCACCTTCAGGTTTAAGGTTATCATCTGGTCGAACCTGAGTTGGTCTTTCTCCAGGTTTATATTTTGATTTTTCTGGAGCGTAAAATTCGCCTTCAGGTTTAAGATTATCATCGTGCCGAACTTGAGTTGGTCTTTCACCTGGTCTATATTTAGATTTTTCAGGTGTGTAAAATTCGCCTTCTGGCCGCAAATTATCTTCGGGTTTCTTTTGAATGGGACGCTCGGCTGGTTTAAATGTTGGTTTCTCTGGTGTATAGAACTCGCCTTCTGGTCGCAAGTTGTCATCATGACGTACTTGCTCCGGACGTTCGCCTGATCTGTATGTCGGTTTTTCTGGTCCATAAAATTCTCCTTCAGGGCGCAAATTATCTTCCGGTTTCTTTTGAAGAGGTCGCTCTGCAGGTTTAAATATAGATTTATCTGGGGTATAAAACTCTCCTTCTGGCCGTAAATTGTCGTCAGGTCTTACTGCGGTTGGTCTTTCACCCGGTTTGTATTTCGGTTTTTCTGGAGCATAAAACTCGCCTTCAGGTTTGAGATTGTCGTCATGTTTAACTTGTGTTGGTCTTTCACCTGGTCTATATTTCGGTTTTTCAGGACCGTAAAACTCTCCCTCGGGACGTAGATTATCTTCAGGTTTCTTTTGAGTTGGTCGATCAGCTGGCTTGTATTCATGCTTATCTGGTTTGTAAAACTCGCCTTCCGGTTTAAGATTGTCTGTATATTTTATTTGTTCAGGACGTGTAACATATGTGTATTTTTCCTTTTCTGTAAAAGTCATTTCTCCTTCTGACTTAAGATTGTCTTTTCTTATGACACGCTCTATTTTTTCTGCTTGCTGATATTCTGTTTTCTCAGATGTGTAGAATTCACCTTCGGTTTTTAAGTTGTCTTTGTGCCTAATTGGACTTGTTCTATCTGCTGGTATATATCCAACTTTATCTGGCATATAGAATTCACCTTCAGAACGTAAGTTGTCAGTTGGTTTTATTTGCTGTGGTCTACTTGTGTATTGATATTCTGCGTTTTCAACGAAAGTCATTTCACCTTCTAATGTTAGATTATCCTTACGAATAATTTGTTGGATCTTTTCAGCGGTCTTAAATGTTGGTTTTTCAGGTACATAAAATTCGCCTTCTTGTTTTAAATTGTCTATAGGTTTAACTGGTGTTGCTCGTATTATGTAATTGTCATTTTCATGCTCTGGAATGTATTTTGTGTCTTTTCTATGAGATTCTCTAAGTTCCTCCAAGTCTGATTTGGACCACGTATTTGTGCGTATCCTAGTTTGGGTTTCAAAAGTTGTGTCTGAAAATGTAAAATTAACAGTAATTGGGAAACAGAACTTTGAAAAAAAAAACAATTTCATACCTTGAGTATCGAGATAGTCACTTGTGGATTTTTTAGTTTCAGTACCAGCACAATGATGTCGCCTAAGAAAAGAATTAAGTAAAAAAAATGTATTTCTGACATAATTAAAGAATATATTGTCAATGCTTACCCGCATGTGCAAATTTCACATATACACATTTCCGTGTGTCGATTATCCTTATGGGTTGATTGTTTTGCGATTCTCTTCTGTAGTACGTAAACGAAATATATATTTACAAATGACTATTAATTTTAAATAATTTATATACTTACTGATTTTGAATCGTTTACAAACGTATCGGTTTCATCATAAATATCCTTTGTGATCAGTTTTTCATTTCGAGTTTCGTTTTTTTTGTATAGTGAGCTATTAATATCCTCAACAAGAGCATTGTTTCGTTCTATTTCAACAAACTCATCAATATATATTGTCTTTTTTGGAGTTTCCACAATTTTCTCTAAAACGTCGGTGTGGGTCTTTTCATCTAAGACTCGCCAGTCATTAATACTTGCATCGAAAATCTAAAAACAAAAATTTTAATAAATGTATTATTATGTCTTAGTAATATTTCAACTTTAACTTCTGCTTTTAATATATTAATATTCCTTTTGAAATCACGTTTTAAATCGATATAATAAACAGTCATGAAGTTAAGGTATGCAATAAAGATATAGTGAGGCTCTTATCAAACGCCACCCCTAAAACTTATGAAAGAGTTTAATTTCTTGCAAACTTTGCGAGAGTACAATCTTTTGTAAATCGTAATAGCAGCTCTGTCTTTAATAAAACACACCTTTGTCTTAGAGCTCTTTATTTCCCTAACTAATTATAAATGTAACATCATCAATCAATTTCTGTATATAATGGAAAATCGTATCAATATCTTATTACTGCTTCTATTGTGTTATATATAGAGGCACAGAGAATTGAAGTTCTAAACAACTATGAAAAAAGAGATGGAAGAGTTTTCAAGCTCTTACTTAGGCCCGGTACACACTTGCGGTGAACAAAACTCTGGTTAGTAAATTCGTCTCAATATGATCTAAAGTATTTTACAACCGTTTGCGTTTTTTTTTGTAATAAATATCCACCAGGCTAAGCATTAACAAAAAACCGGGATAGAATTTTTATAAAATTCATCTTTGGGAACCACAAGAAACTATCATGAATCGATATCGTAAGCTATATAAAACTCTCAAAGAAAATAAATTGATTAAAGTGATATGGGTAACTCGTAAACCAAACATACACGTATCATAGCATCAATCGCTGCGATGAATATTGAATGACTAGGATTGGGGACATCTAATAATAAGAATACCTAAGGAAATACCACGAAAATTCATTGGAATGCTAAGTAAAAATGTCTGTCTGATTATATCGAGAAGTATTTAATTAACACAAGAACTTAAAGAATATGATTAATATATATCAAATATCTCAACACTAATCCTAATAAATATCAAAAAAAAAACATGAAAGTGAAAGTGAAAGAAATTATGGATAGAGCAGAATACAATAATCTATCGACGAAGAGCTAATCTTCCGGCCTACCAAATACTAATAATATTGGAATTGATATAATTCTTTCTAAAAAGACCTCATCGTGACATTGTTACATAAATTATATTGTCAAGAAAGCAAGAATGATTATACGAGTATCTAATTATTTTTATTAACGTCTTTCAAAGCTTGTTCCGTAGATGATGCGTTAAAATATTTTATTTTTTTTAAATTTCTTTTTTATATAAACAATTTATTTTTAAGTGTTTGTTTTTACTTTGCAATTGATAGAATTCTTATTCATTAAATATTTTTATTTTTTATAGATTATTCATTTAAATGAATAATCCAAAACAGATGTATGTATATAAATAATTCTTGGAAAATTTGTGTCATCGAAAATAAATTTAAAAATTTAAAACTATGACTCAAAAATTTAATTTCATTAGAAAATCATTATTGATTTCTGTATTTAATGAAATGATATTTTCACCATGAAGTGTTCTCTTAGTGTTGTCTTAAATACACACATCTCTATTGAGGGTTTAATCCCAATCTACAGAACTCGCTACAACCTAAACTTATGATCAAGTAATTAAGCCAATATAGACGAACGGTATATGTCAAAAGGCGCATGAGAAATATCTAAGCTGTTTTAGTAATCACTCGTATATTCTAGATTAGACACTTCCCAATCCATCTCAGACATCCCAACGACTAATAGGGTTTCGACAAATATGAACTGCAGTGACTTTGAAAAAAAATATACAGAACTGTATTAGTTCTTACTTTCTTTTGTAAGAAAGTAAGTATACTTTCAAATCAAAGAGGTGTTGTCCAGGCTGCTTCCTCTCCGCTCAAAAATCACTAGCCTTATGTATAATACTCGTACATTTAAAAAAAAAAAGTGATAAATATACCCTAAATAGATATTCCAATTAACAAAGAACAAAAATTATACTGATCTCTGCTAAAAACTTATTTTAATAAACAACGGAAATAATACAGCTATGAAGACCACTGAGATTTTCGGAATAAGTATTTCTTTTTTAATTCATAAAAATCGGTCAAAATCTTCTATTATTAGAGTTCATTATTAAACATATATTTTTAATATATAAATATTAAGAATATGTATATATATATTTGTATATAAACGTTTCAAATAGCTTATAATGTTATAGTTATTATATATAAAAATAATATTTAATTCTTCAAATTTACCAAAAAATTATTATATTTTCTGGATGAAATTTTCTTTTTTAAATCAAATGAACTAAAATTAAATATTATTACTAATATATATATAACATATCATTATCTTTTATATACCATAAGCCATACGTTTTTATATCTATTACGAATCTAACACAAGCCTATAGAATTCGAAAGCAATGAGGGGATACGGCTACCTAAATTAGACAACAAAATAACTCATTAAAATAAATTATTCTTTTCTCATAATGAAGGAGTTGGACCTAGGTATGATCAAATTACAACAAATTCAATCACTTTTGAGATTATTATAAAATTTGACTAGATGTTTGGGACTTAAAATGAAAACAGCGAAATCATATAAACCAATTATATTTTGAAAATTACTGTGAGACAGAACAGATCGGTTTGGTATTAAAAACGCTGCTCATATATCAGTATTTCAATATATTCATCTTTTCGCCTAATTATCTTTAAAAACATAGAGGTTTATAGTACATTGCTATAAATGGTCTATACTAATTATCTATTGTCTACACCGTTACCAAATTTACATTTATTTAATAAAAGAGTTGTATAGTTCTGTTAGTGGTCTTTGATATTCTACATTCAAGCGTCCATCATAGATAACGGGCTCTAGTTGTTTTAGAAAATGGAAGAACATACAAATACATTACTCCAAGTGATAAGTTTTAATCGTCCATTTTTCACCATGATACTAAATTTGTATTTTATCGAGTAGGGCGTTCTTAAATACTGAAAATTAACCTACATCCTAATGAAGAAAATATACTAAAAATTTATTTTCAGGAATCACAAAAACCATTTCCTAGATAGGTATAGTCTATAATTGATATTATCAAATAATTTTCAGCAGGGTATTATAAATTGTTAATATTTTCTGTTTTAGTTTTAGACAATATTGCAAATTTTTTCAAATTGTTAATATTTCTTTAAAGAACTATATTTATTTAGCGTTTCTATTAAATTCTATACACCCGCACCAATATATCAGTACTCATATACATATGTAGATGAATATTTCTACTGTGAATGAAAGTCCGGAAGTTATAACCTTGAAATTCCACCCGCTCTATTATAAGATGTTGATTTCCTACGCTACTGCAAACGTAAGTCGATTTGCCTTATTACACTTAAACCTATCAATGTAATGTATAAATGTAATTAGAGAGTACCACTAACCACTATTCTAACTGAAATAAATGAAAATAAGTAGTTTGCACACAAAACTACTGGTAAAATTTTTTATATAAATATGTATTCTATTGAATATTAATTATTATTTTTAGATATAAGATTTGAATGATCGATAGTGTTATATAAAATGACAGCACTTCTTCCGCACCTAAAATATCAGGCGGAATCCTACGAGGTATTATAATTGGTTAATTAAATTACATTAACATATATACAATATACTTAATATACAGCTATTATACTAGAGTCTGAGAAATATGACACCATGATTGCGATAATTGCTGACAATACTGCATACAAATTAGAGTTTAAAGTACAACACAAGACAAACATTTTTATAATACGTATACAGCGAATTGGTTCTGATGCATTATTCTACTTGGAAATGCAGTCAAATACTAGTGCATCCAACTGGAAAATAAACAGATATGAATGGCAAATCACAAAAACTATCCACATCATTTACTAAAATAATTTAAGGAGACATTTGAATTACCTTTAAAATTAATATAAAATAATTTAT